TAACATGACAGCAAATGTACAACGTTTCGACATTTGTACCTGATGATGACAAAACCTTGTCGAAACGTTGTACATTTGCTGTCATGTTAAACTTATATTAAAGTTTTTCTTCATTACCCATTTAAGCCGTCTCCAGCCATTATTAATTAAGACTTAGGTGACCGTATAGGTTAATAACCATGACAATGATTATCATTTAATTGTTTTGTGCAGTATATAAAAATATTTTTATTGGGATATCTTTAACGTAAACAACACATGAAATTATGATATACTCATTAACCTGTCAAGTGCGAAACCCGAAAGCCAAATTACAAACATATACAAATAGACCTAGATATCTCACCATCAATCACATGAACTTTGATACTGTCAGAGTCAGCATAAGAAGGTGTACAACTGTAATTCCCAGAGTCTGTAGTCTTGACGTCTTCAATATTCAGTCTACTTACAGTAGTAGAACCAGTTTCAGTTTTCACCTGCACTCCCCTCATTGAATCATAGTTGATCATACGTCCGTTATGATACCAGAAGACATAGACAGGAGGGGCGCTGCTGTCGCTGATGATACACGTCAGGTTGATGGTACTACCGCTCTGTACGTACATATTTGGGCCTCCTGGAATAGTTGCCTTGGCAACTGTGGAAGTAAGTTTTTGGTATTAGTAAGCGCTAAAAAAACATAAATATGGATTTAAAAGACATTTTGATGACTATTTTAATTACGTGAACATTTTAAATATAGCTCCATAAAATCAAATTACATCTGAGCAGTAGTACGAAGATTAACTGAACTCTAGATATCTAAAGCAAACAACTATATAAGGACTCCAAAATAATATTTATAATATAAGCCTAGTATTCTTGATTTTTTTTATATAAACTTTGCTTTTCTAAAATCCCTATAGTTATGCCTTCATATGGATACTTCTATTTTTGCTATTTGGTGAATACTGGCGAGGTAACCACTACTTCCAGTCTCCAGCAGAGTAATCTTGCTTAAATTACCTTTTGTTATGACTTCGCTTTTACAGCACTCTCTTGTGTCAGAATGATAGTTCCCGAGGGGCTTCGTGGTTTAAATATTATTTTACGATCTTGATATTAGAAGGATTCATTCAGGATCAATAGCTAAATCTCTCAGATAATATGTCGGTTTGCTGAGAAAATTTCTTAACTGTTCTAATTTGTGCTCATTCTTTGCATGATTTACGCAGTGATAAATTTAACTATGTTCGAGTGTCAAACAAACTGTCCTTTCTTGAATAAAAAAATTTCTGTTGTAAAATACTATACATCAAGAATTTGAAAGTGAATGTCAATTGTGTGCGACATCGGGTACATATGCATCAATGTTTTGGTTGAAAGACGCCATCATTGGGCACTTTTTCATCTAGTACCGTAATATTAATACAATAATGGCGGGAAGTATTGAGAGCGACATGTGCTTCAAAGAATAGACGATGCCAGCTCGCAACTACTTACGAGTAAACTGCGGGATAATTGCGATCTATTTTTCTTTTCTTCAACGGTCAGGTGGTTAAATTATGAATCCTATGATTCACGGTTTACGTACCGTTTTTCAAATTAAATCACTAGGCTAGACAAGAGTAGCTGAAGAGTTCGTGGTGTTTCTTTTTTTACTGGTTGTCTTCCATCTATGACTATATGTGCAAATGACCTGTCGTGTAACATTGTATGAACGTTTTAAAACAAACAGACAAATCCTTTTCAAACCAAGGCTAACACGACTCCATGTAGGCCTAAGTTTTATTCTGTCACAGTTAACCATAAGCTTATTTGTATATATTCTTTCACTACATTTATTTCACAAGAGATGATTTTTCAAGCTAGCTTTATTTGTTGAAATTCGTGCAAATCTACACGAGGAACATCTACGTTAGCGGCTCTTAATTTAAAAGAAATAGACTAGATGGAAGACAGCGATTGTTTTTTTTTCTTTTTTGCGGTAGCGGGGTGTGAATCACGGAACCAGACATTCACAGTCCGGCACGCTAACCAATGGGCCGCGCTCGGCCCTGTTTTAAACCAACCAAGATTGTTTTAACATCCACTTAACTTGCACGTACGAAATATGTGGTGTTAGAAGTAGAAGTTTCACATATTAGACCGGGGAGTGGCTTAGTAGTTAGTGTTCCGGGCTCTGAATTGGCAGGTCCAAATTTCGCATTGCTACGACGCTGAAGAAACTTTATAACACCCACAGTAATTATTGTTTTCGGCTCAAAACCGGACAAAGTTTTGTGGCAGCGAGTGCTGCTGGCAGACTGTCTTAACAGTGGTTAGATAACGGCTATGCCTTGAACTTAGGGGTCTCTGACTTGGCATTATAGCCTATATATGTGTGTGTGTGTATATAAGTTGCCGTTTAAAGATATCAAGTACCAATACCTTAAAAATGTACAAAGGACAAGTATAACTTATTTATACAACAATAAATGACTTCGTGACTCAGAGTTATAAAATCCTTTCTTTTTCTGTCTACGCCATTAGCGTTGCTAGGTAACAGTAATTACATACCCCGAGTTCCTTCAGCGGCCACTAGGACAGCGTTGGGCTAAACCCTGTGCTTCTAGACGGAAAGAGGTAAACATTACGAATAGGAAAAGCTTATATAAGATGCTTGGTTCGTAATTAAACCTTGGATGTGGGCATGAAGTACAAAATTTGTCTTTAGATGACCACCGTGATATTTTCGATAATTTAATAATTTGTGTTGTACGATGTGTAATGACGCACGAAATATTTCTTATGCAATGACGTTTTTTACGCAATACAAAATTGTTTTTCAAGAAATTAAACTTAAAATTATAAACAAATGGTTTCTCAGTTTGTTGTACAAGAGATAGTGTAGTTCATAATCCTGTAGGAATAAATAAGTAAATATATATCAACAAACTTCTCACAAAGTGGACAACTAGAAAAATTACTTCGTGCAGTCGATTTGAGAAAGTTTATAAAGGGATAAATTTTATTTTTAAAAATGTGTTTGTATTTATTTTAATTAAATCTATCAAAATAATTTATATACTTTATAAATCAACATGTATATTGACTGTATTACAGGCTAGAACGCTCCACATATTTGAACATGATAAATAACTCATGTGGTTGTCAGGTGATCGCTCCTCAAGTAGGAGCGTCGTTATCAGAAACAGTTTCTTCGATCGTCTGTTCAAACACATCTATCATCAGTAATAATCAAAGTAAAGTGTGTGTAATGTGGTGCGATAAACCTAATTTCACACTTTCTGTACTTGTGATCGAGTAAATACTTGGAAAAAAATAGCATGAAGCACCTAACACTACTCGTGTTGTTATGAGAGCGCAAGATAAAGTATAATGGTGTGGGAACGTTGTTCTCGTGGAAGAAGTTAGATAACTTGATTTCTTTTTAAATGGCCTTGAAAGTTGTTGATTATCATTTCGACTTCACAATACTGCATATTCATCTTAACAAGCGAGAGTTCTTTCTGGACAATAATACAACAATTCACCACGTCCATACCCTCCGGTACCCTAATGGCACAGCAGTAATTTTGATGCCTTACAACGGTAAAATCCTGGGTTAGATTCGTGTAGTGGGTAAAGAAGAGATAGCCCATTATTTAGTTTTGTATTTAAACAAACAGACCAAAATATCTTCCGAAACTGGTTCGAAGAACATGGAAATGACTACAGTATCTTTCCTTGGGAAGAAAAACCACTGGCTTCTCCAAAATCGCTCTTGGCCCCTCTCCAAGATGAAACCGAAATATTGCCGTTTTTACTCCTTCAACAACACAATTATTATTATTATTACTGTTATTCAATACGTGTTGATTAAACACTTTTCATATTTTGAAAAACCACTTTGTTTTTATTTAGAGCAAAGCCTCATTGGGCTATCTGCTGTGTCTACCAAGAGGAATAGAACTCCAGATTGTAGCGTTGTAAGTCCGTAGAATTACCGCTGTCTCACCAGAATAGTTGATGGCTAGAGACAAAACACTCTACAAAACAATTGTAGTAAACTGAGCGATTCAATATGTCAGTTGATTTAAAGATTCTAGATTATAGTTATAACAGTCAAGAAACAAATTATATGTCGTACCATTTGTGAGTTTTGTATCTATTAAATGTGTTTTAGGTATTAAATGATGAAAGAATTTGGCTTTTACTTCAAGAAGATCCAATGTTTTGTTAAAAGGTTTTTAGGTAATTCCTATGAAAGTTTTATTATTGTGTCTTCTAAGGTTGAGACTCCTCACCACACTACAGAAATGATCCGGTTTTTTTGCCTATTATATATTATATATTTATTGCCTAACCTTTTTCAGCAACATGAATTCTTATACTTTGGAGAATTTGTTAGGGCTTTACGAAAGATTTTCAAACTGGATATCATATTGCTATAATTTTTTGTCAATAATTTTATTACCCTCGCCTCCGGAGGGGGGGGGGTATTACAATCGAGTCCGCGCGCGCTTTTCTCGAAAACTAATAGACCGATCTATACGAAAATTTTACACAATATGGCAAGTCAGTATTGGACAGTCCTCTCCTAAGTTGGTCCGGATGCAAATCCGGATCCGGATTCTGGATCACTTTGAAGCATTTTTTTTTATAATGGGGAGATAGAGCAATTTCGCGGTTTTGGGTTAATAACTCTGTAAAGTGTGATTGGATTTGTACCAAATTTCATGGACACATTAAGGTTGAGACTTCTCACCACACTACAGAAATGATCCGGATCGTTGATCATTCTGGATCTGAGGAGGATTTTCTGAGTTTTCGAAGATGAAATTTGAAGTTATCCAATATAAACGCATGCAATCTCCAAAAATAGCGGCGGGCGAGGGTATGCAATATCTCTGATCGCTCTTGTTAATTTTGTTGTGACGTCATCAACTAAGTATTTAGTATGTGTGCGAATATGTAAAATCGTTTCAAAGCACTATTTGGCTTAAATAATCCAGTTTGAGAGTTCTACCAAATTTGTTGTTAATGTTTGTTTGTTTGACGTTAAGCACAAAGCTACACAATGGGCTATCTGTGCTCTGCCCACCACGGGTATCGAACCCCTGTTTCTAGCGTTGTAAGTCCGCAGACATACCGCTGTGCCACTGGGGGGCTGTTGTTAATGTCTTTTAAGAAATTGGTAACATTATCGCTTTGGGGTTTTGAATATGCTGAAATTCAGGCAGTTTTGCTAATTATCTTGATAAATATAACGATCCCTTAATTAAGTATAAGTAGATGCTAGCGCTCATGGTGAGAGATTTACTAACGTTGACAGAAAGATATTGTTAAATTGTCCTGTTTTAACAATAATATATTGTTAAATTATCATGTATGCGCAGAAAAAAAGATCCATAAATGTTAGTGTTTAATGAACAGAAATAGTTACGAATGTATTTATCCAGTTTTTGTTATTCGTTTGGTAAAAATTTCATACAAATTTGGTTGTTTCGTCAAGATATATACAAGTGTAATATCCATAAAGTTGCTGTTACTGTTACTAACTCCGCTGGTGGCAAAATATCGAAACTTAATAAAAAAAATAATTGAAATATTACGCATTTTTTAGAAAAACTTCAGAAAATTTCAGTAAAATAATAGATACTGAGTGGTTCGCTA